CATCCCAATGTGACAATAGAGTTACACGCACAGTACAATGTATCTCTCAGGCCAGGTTTCTGTTGAGATGCAAACTGAATATACATTTTGTCTCAGTGTAACCAGTAAGAGTAAGTTTATGCACCTATGATTATAGTTGCCTAATGCAAACCACATTTGGGTTACTTTACATATTATGAAGGTTTTTACACCTCACTGGGGATGAAATACCCATTTGCAACATGTAATTTGCAAACATGAACTAAAATTGAAGGTAAGATATGGCAATGTTCAATTTAGCACTATAAAAATTCAAGGCCACTAAGTGTAGTGCTATAAAGTTATCAATTAGGCAAATTTCATCCAACTACTGCTGAAACTTCACCTGCATTTAAATATTGCTGACCAGTATTATAATCTCCTCTGTCACAATTTTTATTAAGCAATACTGGCTATTCATACATATACATAGAAACTAACTGTATATATCAGATACTCTCATTTTATCCATTACATTACATTCATTACATTACATTAAGTCAGCAGGAAGGTAGTGTAAAATTTAATGTACATGTAAGTCCTTTCCAAGTAGCTTGCCACTAGAAATTGTGTTCAAACTTCTCTGATTTATAGCACAGTCTGGCAAAAGTCATAAACTGCAAATAAAAATTCAGGCAACTTGTAATTTTGTATGTTACAGAAAATAGAATTTCATGCCTTTTTGGCCCATACGTTAAAGCTATCTACTACATAACAAGTACAGTGTATATCTTAACAGGAATATAATGTCACGACTCCTGACTTAGAAAATGAGATATAATTAAAAAAGTAGTTGAAAACTTTTGTTTAATTTGCTAAAATTCAAGGTGGCTGTGTTAGTTGCATTTTGCTACATGCAAATGATAGTGAGAAAAAAGAGTTCATTATGTGAACCAACGCACACACGCCCCCCTCCCTCATTCCAACCACACTCTACTGCAGTCTGCACTTCTGCTGTACGTGTACCGTCAAATCGAAATGACACGAAACAGATACTCGTCGGCACACCAGCACGGCCCTTTCCTGATGGACAGTATCTTAGTTCCATCACTACAAAGCCATGGAGTAATCCCCCGGATCCCTGCAAGCACGGCACGCCTCTTCCTATTTGGCGTGAGTATTGATTTATGTAAAAGGATGGGGGAGAGTGGTTCTCTATCTACCACAATCTGCAGCCAGGGGAGGGGAGAGGGCTCATATCTGATCCTCCGTTGCAGCTTCCACGTCTATAAAAAATGACCTTGTATAAATCAAAGACACAGCAATAATTTACATCGGAGACAAGTCTTCCCACTTGTTCAAGACACTAGGGAACAAAATGTATATGGTGCTACTTCAAATTCTATTTCAATGGTAAACAAAAGCATATTACAATTTTTTTATACAAATGTAAGTCCTTGTGCTTTTTTTTGCAATTTGAGTGAAATTTTAGTCAAGTGCACCTATCTTTTGTGACAGGTTTTTTTTATCCAACTACATTGCATATTCATACTGAAACTGACTCTGAGAGTTCTGAAATACGGTAGTGCAATAAGCTTTAATTACAAAGAATTTGGTTCTTCGGACCTTGGTAGGTGTAAGTTCTTGCCTAATGCCTAGGTTTACATTGTAGGTGTGTTAATAAAGATAATATTTCTTCTTCTTTTGCCATGTTCAGAAACTAATAGTGCCATTTCCAAGTTGATCCAGTACTGTTATTATCTTTGATTATTTATCTGTGTCATGAAGTACACAAAGCAATTCATACAATTCAAGTTCTTTCAAGTGTAGAAAGTTCTTGCAAAGGGCAACTGCCACATCCCGAAGTTTGCCTGAAAGTTTTACATGTCAATTCAAAGTGGTTCCTGTCTCATTCAGAATATCTTCAATAATTCTGTCATAATGTATGCAGTAAAGGTCAAATTTGACTTAAAACATAAATTATGAAAATCCCTTTCAAATCTAAA